GTAAACAAAGCAGTGTAAACAGCAGTGGGACCAGACTAATCACTGCAGACTCCAGTGGGACCAGACTAAATGCAGCTGATTAAATGGATCCATCCCATCACCAGTGCCTTCACGCTATGTTTGCTGTCATCGGTCACCTGAGAGGCAGCAGCTCAGCGTTGCTAACACTCAGGGTCACATGCTAACACATGCTAACTGGATGAAACAGCCCATTGATGCTGACGGACCAATCAGAGCTCTGCAGACCAACACGCTCATTACACATCTGTCAGATCGTCTCTGCAGCATCACGGCGCCTCCGCAGACGATTTATGACGATTCCCAGCAGCCGCTTCACATTAAAAGGTCAGAACATGACGAGCAGAACGAATACTTTTAGTCTGATAATTTTCTGGAAGGTTTCCTACAACACTGAGCACGTACAAAGATTTCCCATCAGCTGATTTGGCGCCAGAAAATCAGACTGATTTAACAAAAGGACTAAAGAGAGAGTAAGAAGCTTCTGTAACTATGAACATGCAGTGAAGGCTCAAAGCGCAGAGCGTCACTGCTGCTCAGGTGGATTCAGATGCAGGAGATTTTACATTTCCTGACGTCTTGGAGCTTTGATACACAGGTTCTGGATGGTTTGGTGTGTTAACATTCGGGTTTTGGGTGTGTTGTTAGGTTAATACTTGGGTTTTTAGATGTTTTGGTGCGATATTAGTCGTGTTTTCTAAGTTTTGGTGCATCAATAGTCATGTTTTTGATGTTTTACAGCTGTAATATACCGGGTTTGACATCTCGTTGTGCTGATATTCAGGTTTTGAATGCTTTGGTGTCTTACTATCCACACTTTGGTGCATTAATAACATCCAGTTGACTGATAGATTTTCTTTGAAAACACAAACTGTGACACAGAAGACTTGTTGGGACAGGACACCCGCCCTACAATCTGCTGACAGGCGCCACCAGCATGTCAGAGTAACTATAAAGCAGATAGCAGCGCCTCATCGGCTTCTGTCTGATCGTCTTCACTTCCTGGATTCTACAGAGTCACTAAAACATCTTCATCAGCCCGAGTTTCCCTCCAATGAAACCTGAGTCAGAACTAAACCCGTCTGACGTTCAGACGGCAGAACTGGACAACACTCAACGGAACCGAGGAAAACGTCAGCAGAAACTCAAACTACCTGAAAAAACTAAAGGAGTCACAGAAACAGCAGAAGTGAGAAACCCAACAGAACACTACTGAAGGCGGTTCCGAGGTGACTCTGGGTTCTCCTCCTCTTGTCCTCCGTTTACACGAATCATTGTAGATTTCAGACCGACTGAAGTTAAGCACAGAAATCACCTGAACACACGTCGTACATCATCAGAGATCTTCCCCTGACCACCGCCGCGTCGTCTCTATACTGTCAGATCTAGATTCTGGACGAGTTCTGAGTCATTTTAAATGAGTTCTGAGTCATTTTAAAGAAGCTTTGAGTCATTTTGAACAAGTTTAATCACTCTGAACAAGTTTTAAGTCACCTCGAGCAACTTTGGAGTCTTTGCTAAAGAGTCACTTTGAGGCAGCACTGAGTCACTTTCGGCTACTTCCAGTCCTTCTGGACAACTTCTGGGTCATCTCGGGCCGTTTGGTTCATTCTGAACAAGCCAGGAGTCATTTCTGACACCTTTTGATTTGTTCTGGACATTTTTTCTGTCATTCTGAACTGATTTCAAACAGCCGACCTGGAGCTGTTGTTGAACCTGAGCTGCTCCAGCTCCTGGTCCTTCCTCCATGTGTCCACTCTGCCCAGATGAAGCTGGTTCGGGCCAGGCTGGGTGAGCCCAGATGAAGCTGGTTCGGGCCAGGCTGGGTGAGCCCAGACAGCGTGTGGAGGTTTGAGCGGTTTAAGTTCTTTGCTATAGAAGCCAGAGAAGCAGCAGATCTTCAGGTTTGACGTGTGCGAACCAAAAACTAGCTGCAGAAGATGCTCTTCTGGAGAATTACTCACCGAAGGATCCTGAGCGACACCTCACGTCTAATAAACCAGAACCCAGCTTCACGATCGAACCGGGTCACAGCTGACAGACTTCTGCTGCTCGTCCAGTAAACGCAGAGAAAACAGAGCGCGCCTGAGAGCAACAACAACACACCTGAGAGCACCTGGACTGGGCGTGGCGCTCAGCTGGTGAAGGTCCGTTCATGACGACATGTCAGATGGACTTTGGCGTGACGCTGTGACAGCGCTGGACTCCTTCATTGTTTTTTACACATACTGACACAACAATGAGCCAAAACCTGAATCATTACAGAACAAAACCTGAATATATCCAGATTTTCATAGAATTATCTTAAAGTTACACCATAAATCCAAAACCCAGATACTGACGCACCAAACCTTAAAAAAAAATCTGGATATTGACAGAATAAAAACATCAAAAACCTGGATGTTAACGTGACAGAAATACCCAGAGATTAACAAGAAAATGTGAAAAAATGCCAACTCACGAAACATGACAACCCTGGATGTTAGCATACCATCAAAACTCAAATGTTACCACAATAACATGATAAAAACCCACATACAACCTTACCAAAACCTCCAAACTCAGGATATTAACACACACAGAATAACAAAAAGCCAGAAGGCGGAAAAATCCAACAAACGTTGACAACGTCAGAAACAGCCAAAGCTTCACCACCGACAGTCGGCCAACACGTGGCCTCATCAGCAACACTCAGGAAGCGTTTTGTCCTCAGACGGATTTATTTTCAGATGACTGCGACAGAAAACAGAAGAACAGCGACAACAGGTCAGAAGATGACGACGGATTTAATGCGTTAAACTCATAAATCACGTCATTGGTTTAAGTGACTGAACACCAACAAACTCTTTGTTGTCTACGTGTCCTGGTTCCCGCGGGGCTGATGATCAAAACGTTTTAACGGTGACACCATTTATCAGCCACTGAATCCAGCTGTCCGACAGC